GACAAAGACGCTTATGCCCCCCCCCCCCCCCCCCCCATTATCTATTAAAAGAAAAAAAAGTTAGCTTAAGTTGAACTAGTCATCATGCACACTTTTTATACATTATGCCCTTTTGTTTTGGGTAAAGAAGGTGAAATTAAGTATATGTTGCAACGAGGTGGGAGACTGTTGCCATGCACTAAAATGCAGATAAGATGCATTTTTATGCACTCCCATTCAGGTTTATGGGACCAAAAACACACTGGGGGGAATCAATACTGCTTCAGGGAATCTGAAGCAGTTGCCCATGGCAACCAATCAGTTTCTATCTTTCATTTTCAAAGCTTACGTGAGCAAACTGAAGAGAGAAGCTGATTACTATGGTTACTATGGGCAACTGCTCCAAGTTCTATGAATTCCTCCCACTGAGTAGAACCAGAAGAAGCGCCTGCACCATTGTAAGATTTGTACCAATGATGTGAATGGGCAATATTAAGAATAATGGGATTTCCATTGCCGCACGACGGTAATAGACATACAACAGATCGCAATGCTGTGAACAAGGCTATGAAGCTCATGCACTTCTAAAGTGATGAAGACATTACAGCTTTTCTTTCTAAAGAGATTGCTTTGGGTGTTTACATTAAAGTCTGATCCTCCCACTTGATTTTGAAAATCAATCGGAGAAGGCCATAGTAAACAAAACAGGAATTTCCTCATAACAGGAGATACAAACGGATTTGCTCAAAAGAAAATTATTTTTTATAAAAATAAAATATATCTCATGCACAAGGGATTGTTATTTTCTCACCAAAACTACCATTTACAAACAAGAGAATCTAACATTATGAGCTTGTACAAAGTCTGCTCCAAAAATGTTGTTTCTATAGCGATGGCTAATAGGTTTAAATGCTTTATAAGACTAACATTTTTATGCCACTAGCAAACATTTAGCTGCAAGTGAAGCATGAAAGATCTGTGTGACCTGAACCCAAGCTTGATAGTTACTCCCAGACAGATGACAGCAGGATCTGCCTTCCACCTTACTGAAACTGGTTTGGCTTTTGCCAGGGCACAGTGGTAAGTGTCTACACATAGATCATAATACGTTTGTTTATTTCAATGATTACTAGCATGGTTCATGTCTAGGTAAAAAAAACATGCAGACCTGTCAAACAGACTACAAACAAAACATATGCCAATCTTAGATCTCATTTCAACTGATTACAATTCACAGATCAGCTTGTAACTGAAATCTGATTATTTGCGATGGGCACCTTTCATTTATAGTGCTTTACTTATTAGGAAAGAAGGAGGGCAATATAAAATACATGAGATCAAACTATCCTAAGTTTAAAATAAACTATATAAAACTAACTTAAGTTCTCAAAATAAGTTTAGCGCACAGGATGAATTCCTGAAAGAATGATCAAATACTCAGGTGGGATGTATATAGCAAAGTACAGCAAGTGCATGCTTGTCTAATAAGATGTCACGAAATTCTAGCAATGTAGATAGCAATGCCAACAAAATGTAATAAAGAGCTGCTGCTCTGGAAAATTAGGTCACTTACCATTTCATTTTCCTCTCCTTGATTAAGCAGTGCACAGTGGCCATTATTAAGTTTTTCACCCATCAAATCAATCACAGCTCCCTTATGGTTGTACTGCTAACCTTCCCTGTGCTGCGGAGTCTCAGCACACCTTGCTGGCCACATACAGATACATTACAAGTTTTACTTGTGAAATAGCTCAGCACTGGCTCCGCCCCTCCGATCAGCCAGGTGATGTAACCCTTTACTTGACCCTCAGGCTACTTCCACGCTTGCACTCCTGCTTTTAGATTTTCTAAAGGGTAAAAACATTTGGGGGAATTCAAAAAGAGTGTAGTTGAGACACATAAGAAAAGTGTCTCAGGGTTACAGGAATGCTGTCCTTATTTGTGCCAAGTTCATGTACAAGTCTGCAGAGCATTCATAAATTTGGTGCAAACCCATGAAACCGGCGCTGGCTTGTGAGACAAGCTTTGGGACAGACATATGCACACTGATGAAGTACATAGGTGTCTGGCATCTCTGTCCAAAGTGTGGCATATGTGAAACAGAGTTCAATAGAATAGCAACTAATATACTAATGCGTCTCATTTTCTGACGGAACGGTGGCATTGCCCTTTAGCCTAGCAGTCAACTTGTGTCTGAGACAGATTTCAGTTGGCACCGGAGGTATGCGGGGCATACAGTGACAGGCATATACAATATGAAGGTGCAACAGACCAGTTATGTAAAAAAATACTTGGTCTTAAGCTGGCCAAACACCTCACAATTATCTGCAGATTTTATGTGGTCAGATGGAAAAGGTGCAACAGATTCCTCCATCTACACTTGAGGCTTCCGATGACTGCAATGCAGAACGGGCAGTGTGCGCTTGCGCACACCTGCCCGTCCAGCTTTTATCTTACGAACATGCTACACACCCGCCGAACATCGTACGGTTTTCGAACATGTTCCTAAGATAAAAGTCGTGCGACCTTACAGTAAAGGTCGCACGGCTTCCACACACCTTACGATAATCGTACGATCGCGATCGACCTTTACTGTGTGGATGGAGGAATCTCCACCTGGGCCAATCTGTTGCACTTTTTCCATCTGACCACAGAACATCTGCAGATAATTGTAAGGTGTATGGGCACCTTTACTTCACATCACTTTTCTTATTAACGAACTGTTGGAGTTTATTTATTGAATACGTCGCAAACAAAGAACGAAAAAGAAAGCAGCAATTTGCTGCGCTTTTCATGGAGCTGCAGCGGCCCACCAAATAAATATAATACCGTATTTGCCGGCGTATAAGACGGGGTTTGAGACCCAAAAAAATAGCCCGAAAATCGGGGGTCGTCTTATACGCCGGGTATACTTCGGTATACTGTATGTAGCTTCAGCTAAATACAGTATACCGCGCTGAGCCAATCACGGCAGGCTTTGTATTCTTTAATACAAAGCCTGTATTTACTGAATACAAAGCCTGCCGTGATTGGCTCAGCGCGGTAGTAGCTGAAGGACGGAAGATGGAGGACGCTGCTGTGATCCTGGACAAGGTAAGAGACTGTAATCCCGAGTGTGGCTCGGGGTTAACACTTATGGTACTGAAAATTAACCCCGAGCCACACTCGGGAATACCGCCAAGGAGGTTAGTAAGTGCATTTAAACATTGTTTTGGGCTATACTCGTCTTATACGACGAGTATAGCCCAAAACCTATATTTTTACACAAAAAGTGGGGGGTCGTCTTATACGCCCAGCCGTCTTATACACCGGCAAATACGGTATGTTGATTTATAAATTATATTTCTGTATTAATTTTTGTTTTTGAATTGCCTCCTATATATAAAAAAAATGAACTGAGCTGTCTGTTAAGCTCATACCTTGTGTGACTGTTATGGCTTGAGCCATTAACATTTTTTCCTCATGTCTGTGTGCACAGAGGTATTTTAGAGGATCTACGCAACATATATCCGGTAATTTATTAGGCTGTCAAAAAAGCATACCCGCCGTTCCTCCCTCCCGTTTGTTTTCTCGCAGTATGTTTACGTCACCCACTTATTCATGAGGGGACTTGTTATTTATCACAATTTATACCACTTTAATTATAACTGGGTTGCTTGAGTCTTATGACTAAGGGTGCCCATACACTGTGCGAATTCATCAACAACAGGCTGAAATTCGCACAGTGTGTGCCGCTGTTAGCACCCTTACGGCCGGCAAGCCTTGATCAGCTGATCGAAGGCACCAGCTGGAAAATCTTTGTATGACCAGAGACGGCAGCCAATGAGCTGCCAGTTCTGATTGAGTTTTCTGACAGTGGCCGTCGGTGCCCCAAATGTTTGAAAAATATATATTATGAAAACAAAATACTAAATCCTTCTAAATTTACTGAGATCCAACACACAGGGCCTCCCATGTTTGTTTATATCCCGCGCCAAAGTCCTCTCACTTTGCCTGTTCAGTAGAACCCCATACTGTCCCTGGTAGGAAGATGGAGGTAGACAAGCCCCATAGGGGGTTTATGAGGCTCTATTGCGCATGTACGGCCAGCAGTGAGAGAACATTGGCTCAGGGGTGGAAACTGTTAGCTCAGACGTGGAGGGGCAAAAAGAATAAGTGCACTTATTTTTTAAAGAGTCTCAACTCCTGACCCCAGAGCTTACAGTAACCACAGTCATGGGGATTTGGTTACTAAATAGTACTACTAAAAAGTAGAGTAAATGTTAACAAAAAATTAGACTGGACACCAATGTAGTGGAAAATCTATTGGCTGCAGCCCTTTGTTGGGGTGAAAACAAACTTTTAATTAAAATAAACCATTTGTAAAAAAAACAGTTAACCATAAATCAACTTTAAAGATTAAGTCAACTTTGAATCACAATGCTTAGCCCTACAGAGTTGAGCCTGAACTTTAAAAACACAGTCCGGTGTAAATACAGAGGTACACTGTCCACCCACAAACATGGAATTCTGAAGTACAGGTTTCATATGTGGTGTTATATCCAATGTAGTGTTTGAGCTCTTTCACGTGGGCTTTCCGATCAGGTTTGCCTATCAGTTTTTCTGGTGCACCTGACTGGAAGGCCAATGTAATGCTGGGCACACCTTACAACCATCGCAAGACCTCTGTGTCTTGCGATGGTTGTAAGGTAATTAAAAAAATGTACGATCTGCCTATCTTGGACAGGCAGATTGTACTTGCGATGATGACCGCAATGCTGATGATGACCGCAATTCCGATGACCGCAATGCTGAACGGGCAGTGCGATTCTCGGCGGGTTTTCGAACATGTTCCTAAGATAAAAGTCGTGCGACCTTACACTAGCAGAGGTCGCACGCCTTCCACACACCTTGCGATTTCCCGCAATTATCGTACGATTATCGAAAGGTGTGTGGGCACCTTTAGTCTATGGGCAGCCAGGCCTGTCCGTTTACATTCTGGTTATCCCCCACTCCAGCCAAGTGTGGAAAAACAAACGGATCAAAGATCTGTTTTGCCTGACCCGATGGTGCAGGATTGGGGTAATCTGATGTAAATGGACACAAGTCTGTTTACATACCATTATACAAAACACAGAAAATCCCCAGCTCACCTGCCAGCTAGCCTGCAACCAAACAAATTGCCCTGTCAACAGTATGCGTTAAAATCAGAGGTTTTAGTTGCAAAAACTTTTGGCCAAAAATATGTAGAAGCCACACTGCCGTGCCAAGGCACCTCTGCAAGGTGTGGTCCTAACTCTATGTATATGAGTCTCCAAGTGTGAGCATATTAATGCAGTCAATAAATTGCATGCAGGTGTACCAGGAGGTAGCCAACTCCTCCTAATAAGGTGCAGGGACGCACTGGAGGCCCAGCAACCAAAAATGCACGCTGGGACCCCAGTGCGTCCTCTCAACCAAAAATAGTCAAACTAGAAAGAACTTTCTTTTTTTCTTTCTTTCTTTTCTGTTTACATACTGTACAATTCCCCGCAGACCAACAGATTTTTACTCAATTGCAAGATGTCTGTGAAGGTTCTCATCCAGGTCATGGTATATCTGTAAGAAATAAGTCAAGGCAGCTGGATTTGCTGGATTTTTTTAAAGACGTTTCACTGGTCATCCGATCAGCTTTCTCAATTCAAAATGACTTGTACAAAAATTATCTGGGAATAAATATGGTAAATGTTGCTCCAATCCACATAATCTGTTGGAGTTAGGAGGGGTTAAATCAGCATTGTATGTGGCAGACAATAGATGTCTTACACACACGCACACACCTCTATTCAAGCTTGGTGTAATACCTCTTATGATGAATGATGGAACTCAGCTGCGGAAGTCTTCCGAACTTTTACTTCAAGATTATGACAGTCTCTATAACTAAGGTTTTATCAATGGTAATGTTTGCATCACATCACAAGAAAAATAAATTAAACCATACTGAATGCCTCTCACTGCTGAAATTATTCCAATGTTCAGTTCACATGACAGGATTGAAGAAGTATGTAACAAAACTGTTGTAATGATCCCCACATCACACGTTATTTATTTGAAATCAATAAACAGTAATAATCAGTTTGTAACACTGGCGGAACTACCAGGGTATCAGCGGTCGCAATTGCGACCGGGCCCTGGCGTTCCGCCTGTTGGGGGGGGGCCCAGAGAAGAACAAGAGGGCATGCAGCTCCCTCATGCCGCCCCACGATAGTGCCGTTCCTTCCCCGCCGCTCTGCCACCCGCAGCAGTAGAAGCGGGGCATGTATGGGTGGCTGTGCGGCGGGGATGGAGCGAATCTGCCACTGTCAGCTGCCTGTCTGCTGTGTGAGGAAAGGACCACCTCCACTTAGTCCCGCCCCCTGGCCGTTGGGACATGGCTAAAAGTGACAGTGGTGGTCTGAGAGTCAAGTAAGTATGGGTGGGTGAAGGCTGTGACAGTGGTGGTCTGAGAGTCAAGTAAGTATGGGTGGGTGAAGGCTGTGACAGTGGTGGTCTGAGAGTCAAGTAAGTATGGGTGGGTGAAGGCTG